GCCACCCCTTTTTCAACACCCAACGCCTTTTTAATATCCTGCACACGCCGTCCAAGGACACTCCAGAATGTGTTCTTTCCTTTGATGCGGAAAAAGCATTTGACCATGTAGAATGGAACTATCTATTTGCTGTGCTGGAAAGATTTGGGTTCGGTCCCAACTTCATGTCATGGATCAAGTCCCTATACTTGTCCCCTGTTGCGTCTGTTTGCACTAATAGCCAGAAATCAAAACCATTTCAACTTAAACGAGGCACACGTCAGGGTTGCCCCCTTAGCCCATTGTTATTTGATCTAGCTATTGAACCCTTAGCAATGCTTTTTCAAAGCAGTAAACTTGTCCAGGTTATACAAAGAGGTCAAACTGAACACAAAGGCTCTCTCTATGCTGACGATTTATTGCTTTCTATTTCAAATCCAAATACTTCCCTGCCGTCTATATTGTCACTACTCATGCATTTCAGTCAAGTCTCTGGTTATAAATTAAATCTGTCCAAGAGCGAACTTTGTCTATTAAATGAAGAAGTGTTTCCAATAGATTTGTCAGGTTTCCCCTTTAAAGTGTTCAAAGAGCAGTTCACCTACCTGGGTATCACAATTACAAGAAAGTATAAACAACTTCTCAAAGCCAACTTTTTTACACTATTGAAGAATGTCAAACAAAGCCTTCAACAGTGGTCACCCCTGAACACAACTCTGGTTGGACGAATTAATTCAATTAAAATGAATATCCTTCCTAAATTCTTATACTTATTTCAATTTTTACCGGTCTTCATCCCCAAGTCTTTCTTTACAACTCTAGATTCTATAATCTCCTCTTATATTTGGAAGGGTAAACGACCTCGAGTAACTAAGGTGCACTTACAGAAACCTAAGACTGAAGGGGGTCTGGCACTCCCTAACTTCCGCTTTTACTATTGGGCTGCCAATATTCGGTCCCTGACCTACTGGTTACAGTCTGGGGAAGGTGTGGGCGCAGTTCAGGAGACATTTCAATTTGAATAATTTTTCACTTCAAAGCCCCATCCTTTCAAACCACCTATTCCTCCCACCAACTTTGGACAACTTGTTCCAGGTCTGGTTTAGAGCAGGTATTATTTGCTTTAAAGATCTCTTTATACACAATAAACTAGCATCATTTGATCAGCTGGCAGGAAAATACAGTCTTCCCAAAACTCACTTTTTTAGATATTTACACCTCAGACATTTTTTGCAGTCCCACCTCTCCAATTTTCAAGAAGCTCCAGCTGCTAAGTTACTGAACGAGCTCCTTAATTTGCAACTATCAGGCAAAGCTGTAATGTCTCGCATCTATAACAAACTGTGCAGTGTAACCCCAGCTCCCGTTGTGGGCCTCAAGTCCACATGGGAGAAGGAGTTGGGTATATCTATGTCAGATGACGTCTGGGACTCAGTCTTCTCTCTGGTAAATTCTACATCACTCTGCGCCCGTCATTCCCTGCTACAATTCAAAGTAGTCCACAGGGCCCACTTATCTAAATCCAAACTAGCTAAGCTTCATCCCAGTTTAGACCCTCAATGTAACAGGTGCGGGTCTAATGATGCCAATCTAACCCACATGTTTTGGACCTGCCCTGCCCTGGCAAATTTTTGGGAGGAGGTTTTCTGCACTTTGAACAAGGCTACCAGCCTGAAACTAGCTCTCAACCCCCTACTTGCTCCCTTTGGTACAGCGGGAGAGGATGATAAGTATATTCCCAGAGCAAAGAGCAGGGTGTTTTCGTTTTTTCTTCTCTCTTTTTGTTTTTTGTCTGTTTTTTTTTTTTTCTCGTTGCTTGTTTGGTAAATAATAAGAGAAGAAAACAATGTTCCAACATGAGTTCTGTTTTGTATTCATTGTAAACAGTTCGTGTTTTTCCATCTTCTTTTTTTCTTTGTAAACTATATCCACAAATACTCAATATTTTGAATAAAAAAGAAATGCCAGAGCTGTAGCGCTGGCCAAGCAGGGTCGCTGGATGAATTGGGAGTGTCTTGAAAAGAGGAAACTCAATGGAGTGAAATCTGCAGAATGGAGTGTAATAGGCTAAGTTTCATCATCTGAGCCACATATGATGTGCTGCCTTTCCCCATAAATCTGCAGCTTTGGTTTGGAAAGGACCCATCCTGCCCCCTGTGTACACACCCAGCAACACCAAGCACATTTTGGTTTGTTGTAGGACTAGCCTTACTCAAGGCAGGTACACATGGAGACACAACCAGGTCCTCAGGTGTCTAGCTGAAAAAGTTGAGTACAAAAGGGAATCCATTAACACCCAACCTTTCACAAACCAAGAGGAGCATCAGTATTTGTCCGGGAGTAGGACAAGCTAAGAACTAGCTCTTCAACCCCCGGATCTGGGACCGCTGAAGGTCGCCAGGGATTGGCAGATGCAAGCTGACTTGGATGAGAGACTAATTTTCCCCACAGAAATTGTTACACCTCATTTGTGACCAGACCTTGTCTTTTGGCCTAACTCTCAAAAACTTGCTTATGTCATTGAGCTGATGGTACTGTGGGAGGATGTAAGACACATGCCCTGTGGTGGGCCTGCCTGAGCCGATGGTGTCTTGTGATAAAAGGCCGAAACACCCTGTGAAGTTAAAGCACACAACTGATGATGTGTCCTGCTGGTAAAGCTTCCAGGCTGCCTTTCCTCATAGTAGCCATCCCTCAAGACTTTCTCCATTAGAAGCAATGCAATATCAGGGATTGTAACAGCTAGTCCTTTTATTGAATCACAATATTCATTAAACCCAAAGCAACATGTGAGACCCGGGTCCTGCAGCGGTGGAGAAATTGTTCTGGTGGCCTGCTGCAGATCTGGCAGTGGCAGAGAAAAAGTTCTGATGCCGACCACAGGTCCAGTGGCGGCGTGGCATGGCAGATGACCAGCGATATGCTGGAGCTGCCAACTGTGGCTGAGCAGCTCAGGCTATGGTAGGTCGAATAGGTCCCCACAAAGAACAGACCTCTGGCATGGGCATGGCAAGTCCAGACAGTCCACAGAACCTCTGGCTTGGGCAGAGCAGGTCCTTCCGGCATGCTGACCTCTGGCTCAGGCAGAGATGCAAGAGGCCACAGGCGGTTGAGCAGGTGGCAGCATGGCAGCTGCAGGCAGTTGAGCAGATGGCAGCGTGGCAGCCGTAGGTAGTTGGTGGTGTGGCAGCTGCAGGCGGTTGAGTAGGTGGTGGCATGGCAGCCGCAGGCGGTTGAACAGCAACAAGCTGTGTGGTGGTCAGTTGGATGGCAGGTGAGGATGCTGGACAGACATGGCACACCCTCAGGGTTTAATCTAAAACCCTGGCTGCTAAGTTCAAAGGAAAACTTTTAGATATCGGTAAATACACAGAACACAACTACTGGTCTGATTTCCTCAGTTTTTGCACACCATGCCAAGTTTTGGGAATCATATTGTTGGCAAAATACTATTTTATGCTTGTCAAATTGTATTAAACAAACTAAATGGTCATAAACTGCAGTACAGAATTACTATGATCAATAAAATAAAGTTAAATCAATTATTACTGTTTATTTTCTTCTACTTTTTAAGTTTTCGTTTTTAAAATAAAGTTAAAACTAAAGTAGAAATGTGTGGTATGACGTTACTACGTCATAAAAAATCCTATTTCTTTTAAAACAAAACGTTAATGTTAATTTTTCATTCATATAAATGTTTAGAATAATATGTTTTATCAGTGCGGCAAAGAAAATTAAAATAAATCCCAATCATTGATACGTCAGTGTAACACAGATTCCGAGTCAGTATTCCGTTTTTAAGAAACAAAGCTTGAACTGGCAGGTAGCTGTAAAATCTGACCTCAGATCGGCACTTTTGGAAGCCACGTAACACGCAGCAAGCCTCGCGGTATTTACGCTACCCAGCATGCCCCGGTCTTCCTTTCTGCCTGAACCGACATGGTGGGTACATAGCTGTTCCTTCTGGGGGAAATATGTTATCTGTTGTATCTGTTTGCATCCTTTCATACATTTATATTTTTATACTGTAGAAAGTGCCAATTAAGTCTTTGAACTTTGTGTAGGGCCGTGATGTTAATATTGTGCTTTGATGCTGTGTTGTTTTTGCGAAAACCTTAGGTTATGTTGGTCGATGTGTAACCGGTGCTAACAGTGCTGTGGCTGCCTGTGGAGTGCTGAAGCTAAAGGCGATGAACATGCTTGTTTTAAAAGCTCGTTTTTGTTTTGTTTTTATTTAATTTTTCTTTTTCTTTTTAATTTTCCAGACGGTTGTATGTATTTTGTAAAGTAGAAGTGCAATACTACCGGGGTACAAGTTTGTGTGCCCTGCTAGTTTACTGACTAGCATTAGGGAATGGGCCTGAGCGTGGGTCGGTATTAACCTTCCTTTTGGCCTCACATTAGTTGTGTTTCTGTCGTTTATTGAATGTATTCACAAACACGCAAGTTTTACCTACGTTTTCATTGATGCGTTATCATCCTGAATCGGTCTTTAGTTCAGTGTTTATGACATCCCTTACGTGTTGGTGTAACAGCATGGAGATTAGTTGAGCTCTGAAGCCATTCTCTGGCTTTTGGGGTTTATTCCTTGCTTTTTGCATTACAGCTCTAAAAAAAACTAAAGTGGTCTTTTGATTGTATTTTTGCTAGATTTAAAAATTATTTTGTGGAAAATTGACAAGGGTAGTTGCTAAAGCTAGGCTAAGCAACTCCCTGACATGGTTGGGAAAGGTAGAGCAGTGTTGTAAGTTTACATGCGGAGTAACATGTTTACAAGTTAATAATCATGTTAGGTTAAAGTTGCTTGTGTTTATGCTTCTGTAACACACTGTTCCCTTTTCCACAGCCTAAGGGAAAGAAGGCTAAGGGGAAGAAGGTGGCACCAGCCCCTTCAGTGGCCAAGAAGCATGAGGCCAAGAAAGTAGTCAACCCCCTGTTCGAGAAGAGGCCCAAGAACTTTGGCATCGGTGAGTATCTGCAGGTGCCACTTTATTGGGGGCATAAGCTAGTGGTCATACAGGTGCAGATGATGTAAAAGAATATTTGCTATCTTAATACCACTGATGACAATATTCCCACCAAGATCGCTGATGCACATTATATTAACATTAAATTAAGAAAAAGTCTGTGTTTAATGGTAGATAATGATGAATTTGTTGTGCTTTACCACAGGCCAGGATATTCAGCCCAAGCGTGATTTGACACGCTTTGTGAAATGGCCTCGTTACGTCCGCCTGCAGAGGCAGCGCTCCATCCTCTACAAGCGTCTGAAGGTTCCCCCTGCGATCAACCAGTTCACCCAGGCTCTGGACCGCCAGACTGGTAAGTACAAGCAAGTGGTTTTCTTCTGTATGGCAGTATGTCAGAGTTGTCATGTGGGTTCTAAGAAGGACTGTTTCACTGTGCAAGTGATGTGAAAGAGTATTTGCTATCTGACCAGTTATGCGGACGATTTCCACCAAGATCACTGATGCATGTGTTTGTAATCATGGTAGCTTTGTAGTAAGCCAAACTTGTTGCCCAAATTTCAGTGTTTACATTTTTAATTTTAATTGGTTTCTTCCGCAGCCACTCAGCTGTTCAAGCTGGCTCACAAGTACAGGCCCGAGACCAAGCAGGAGAAGAAGCAGAGGCTGCTGGCTCGTGCTGAGCAGAAGGCTGCTGGAAAGGGAGATGCCCCAACAAAGAGGCCTCCCATTATCCGTGCAGGTGAGTTTGATTGAACAAAGTCCTGTCTTTGTTAAGCTCCACAGTTTAGTAAAAATGTATTAAAGTTTAAGACTTGTGCTGGCCTAGTTGGCAGCTCGGTCTTATGTATTTCAGGAGTGCTGCTGGAATTGTAGGTTTGCTCCTAAACAGTCTTAAACTGTGCATTAGAACCTATTTTGTGTTCTTGTTAGTTCAGCCTCATCTGACTTGGCCTCAATGCAGTGATGACCAGAATTTCTTCACCTGAAACTTGCTGTGATGGTTTTTGAGCTTTTTAACCCTGAGCGTTGGCCAAAAAATAATGAAAAGTTTTTCTGGATTAAGTTGGTGGATCAAACATTTTAATTTCTGCCTTTTGGTTTTCGCTCTCTGCAGGTGTGAACACCGTCACCTCTCTGGTGGAGAGCAAGAAGGCCCAGCTGGTCGTCATTGCCCATGATGTGGATCCTATTGAGGTGAGATTGGTGTAATATGTGAATGCATGTTGGGTTCAGTTTAGTGTAAAAAGTGGTCTCTGGCAATGATGTCTGAATTTCTTCACCTGAATCCTCTGTGTGGATCAAAACATACGAGCTTTTTAACCCTGAGCACAGACCACAAATGAAAAACAAGTTATCATTTATTAATTTTTGTAAAAGGCAATATGGTTGCCACACTCCATGGATAAACTCAAAAATTTTTGCTTCCTGAAATGTTAATACTTCCTGTGGCTCCCCTGAATTTCTAGCTCGTGGTCTTCCTGCCTGCTCTGTGCCGCAAGATGGGTGTCCCTTACTGCATCGTGAAGGGGAAGGCTAGACTGGGCAGACTGGTGCACAGAAAGACATGCACTTCATTTGCCTTCACACAGATTAACCCGTGAGTATGAACATACACTGAACTGTGCCCAAGTGTGACAGTGAAGTTTGGCAAATGATTTTTAGTACGTGTTCAATAACTGGCTGGAGAAAAGATTCGATACTTCCTCTGGAGTGAGATCTTAGTTCACATCTTCAAATTTGCTTGGATTATTTTCTACAGCAGTTGACTTTTTAATCAGGGACCACAATATGTATAAATTTGAAGTGACTTTTCAGACAGGAAAATTTAGTCATCTGAATACAAGTGTCGGTACTGCATTGACCATCTTTTTTCTCTCTCTCTCTCTCTCTCTCTCTCTCTCCTACTCCTAGTGAGGACAAAGGTGCACTTGCTAAGCTCGTGGAAGCCATCAAGACCAACTACAATGACAGATACGAGGAGGTGAATAGCCATTACTCAGTTAGCAGTGTTTACATTTCACAAATCCTAAAACAAATTGTACAAATTTTAACTGTTCGCAATCTCATTTTCCAGATCCGCCGTCACTGGGGAGGTAACATCATGGGTCCCAAATCCACAGCCCGCATCACTAAGCTGGAGAAGGCAAAGGCCAAGGAACTTGCAACCAAGCTTGGTTAAATTGTTTGGAATAAAAAATGTATGCCCTAAAAGAAGAAGACTTCTGTTGTTTAATTTTCAAACTAAAATGATAGAAATGTTAGAATCAGATTGCAGGTGTCAACACAGTGACAGCAGGAAACGTAAACATGGGAGCATTTTAAATTCTGATTGTTATAATAAGGGTGGAACTGACATTTTTAGGCTTCCCGTGCCGAATCCTGAAGTGTCACAGTTTAAATCAAGATGATAATCTTGGGCATTATCTGACAAATTGCTTGAAACGGGAAAGTTTTTTTTTCTTTAATAACTGAGAAACCACAACTTGAAAGGTGAAAAATATCATGAACTCTGCCTTTCAATTCCTGTAAGTGAAGACGTATTGATGGTCTTGAGTTTCTGCAACTGGAGTTACTGAATCTGATCGCACTGAAATTACTTATATTTAGTATCATCCAGCAGTAAAGTTAACCTATTTAAAAAAAAAAAAAAAAACAGAAAAACTGGCTTAAATTTAACATAAGATGCTTTGTCAAAACCACATAATTTACAGGACACGAGGCGCTTTTTTTTTTTTTTCCCCAACGGTTATTATTGGCACATAGTGTATATACAACAAGGTAAATGACAGAATCCCCGATCTTGAGTACTTTATTTACACATGAAGCTATTTACATAATATATGTACCAGGCTGGAGCTACAAGTTAAGCACAAACCCATCATTCAAGTACCAAGTAAAATAATTGTATTGCTTTAAATCCTCTTGATGAACTTTGCATACCACATGTAGGAAGTAGCTGCACACAAACCATACCTACAAGAAAAAAGTAATTCTGCATTTTATCAATCAAATGCACCTTGACACATGAGTGTAACAGATGTACAGCAGTCCAAAACAAAACACTCACCATGTTATTATGTACTGCATGTGTTCATTCCTCAGTGTGACCCTGGTCTGTCCACCTATTGGCCCACCAGGAATAGTGCTACCTGCGTGAGACACAAAACTTTAAATTACTTTCAAATTGAAGTGTTTCTGTTGATGTGAGTGAGATAAACAGCATACATGGAGGATTGCAGAGGTTTAATCTTAATGTAAAGTCACTGCGTCAAAGAGCACTAAACATACCAAAGTCGGCATCAATGAAGATGGGTGCGGCTCCAGTGACTTGTGCCATCGCTTCCAGGTCACGGTAATGCCAGCGGTTTCTCTCCACGTCATTGTTTGGTACAAAGGGTTTACGATTCTCTGTCAGTCTGACCACTCCCACCAACTCCACCTCATCCTCGACCTGCATAAAGGCAGCATTTCAGTGATTCAAGTGTTTACAACAACACAAAGGTGGTGTTAGTAGTTTAGCGAACAGTCAAGCGGTGTAAGTCAGTTCTGCTTTAGTTAATTTAAATTTTTATGCAGAAAGTTTATTAGTAGGAGTAACATGACAATAAATGGGTCTTCGAGGCACTTTCACAGGCATATTTAAACTATTCAATTACTAAAGGGAGTTGGGGCCTAATTGAAGATGAATTCTCAGTGCATAAAGAGGTTTTCAAAACTAGAAACACCCCAGGCCTATACTAGGACGTGGGATTTGTCTTGACCAGGTAACTTCAGGGATGGTTCGCTTCTTACCAAGGTGGATCAACATAGTAACTTGTGCTCCAAAATAGGTTATGTGTGAACAAAGTAAGCCATACTTGTTCATTATTTTTCTTTGTGCTGTTTAACAGGTTTAACATTAACACGCTAACTGGGGCCTGCAAAGTCTGGCATGTAGCTACTGGGTTTTTTGCAATTTCTCTAAGCATTGCACAGTCTGGCCTTGAGGTGTTTTGCCAGGACTTACACTCCTGGGAAGACTGGAAACTCTTCAGTGTTTTCCATTTGTAAATAATCTTTCTCAACGTACAATGATGGATTTCAAATTGTTTGGAAATGGTCCTTTAACCCTTCCCAGATAGGCAAGGGATCATTGCTGTTATCTCTTTGGTATTCTGTTAACACACACATAAATGCTCCAGACCAGCGAACTACCAAAACCTCTACTTTTACTGAGGTGCTCATACTTGCTTATGATCAATGAATCAAGTGCACTTATTTATCAGGGTGTAGATCATTTTTACACATGCTGCTTCTGCATTTTGGCTTAGTTTTTGTTCAGTAAATAATTACATGGTGTGATGTGTCATGTTGTTGTTCATCTGAAGTTGTATTTAGCCGTTAAGACTTGCTGTCAACAAGATGACTTTTTATTATGTCGTGGTATGTAAAACCTAAGAACTGAACTGTAGTCTTAGTTCTAACATAGCTTGTGACAAACCTATTAGACTTATAAGTTAGTCTTATTAGTCTTGAAAAATAAGTTAGTCTTTGTGCAATTAACAAATCTCAAAGACTTAACACTCCAGCCTGGTGTAAAACCTCTGTGTTTACCCAGCATCTGATGTCTTCCCCTCACCTGTCCCTTCATCCTGGTCTCTGGTCTTATTTTCTGCCTTGGCACGAATCCTCTGTTCACCAGGATTGTGATGCTTCAGTGACACAGACGGTATAAATCAGTGTTGAGAGCAGCGATGTATCAATCAATGTACAGATATTGCTATGGTGAGATGTTTTATCTGGCTCCTTACCCGAGGTCGGTACAGTGGAATGGGGTGATGACATTAGCGCCGGTCTCTGCACTTGAAGAGAGCCTTCCTGCTTCTCTGGCCTCTCTCTCTGGGTCGACTGGTGAGCGGGGCATAATGTATAGCTCTTGGGAGTGATCGTAACGTCCACGTACCTTGACTCTTCTGTACTCGAGGTTATTAACCTCATAAGGACTAGAATGCAAGGCGGGAAAATGGTATGTAAATCTGTGCCTTAATGATTCACATATGTAAAAAACGCAGCTTATTCAACTTCTGCACATTAAGATATTACATGAAGTGTTAAAGAGCACCTGTTATGCTTTTTCATATTTTCTGTCATAGATACAGGACCTAGCCACTCTGCCACTTACTCAAGAGGAAGAGGAATGGGTTCTGCCGTAGTGAGTCGGGTCAGGTCATCAATCAGCTTCAATTTCCACTGACGCCTTTTCACCTACAGATGAAGGCAATGAAGGCACTGGAGTACACCCAACAACAACCAGAAAGACGTAACTGCATTGTGTGTATTTAAAAAAGCAATAACAATCAACAAATAAGTGGTACCTGCCATGTGCCGAGGCCAAAGGTGGTGGCAGGGATGAGCAGCAGGAACCATTTAAGAAAAGAGTCTTTCTCTGCAGCTGTGGCTGCTGTGGAGCTGGACTGTCGTCCAAAGCCAAGGAACCTGCCTGGATATGTAAAGAATAAAAGTGAAAGGTGGATTCCTTGGAGAATCGAACAGCATATTGACATAACAGTTACAAATAATATAATGGAATAAATATGCTACCCAAAAAAATTATACACAAAGATTATTTCAGCAGCCATGGAGACAGAAATTAATGTAAACCGAACAGGTTTTGTTGATTTTCTTATATTATTACGTAGTAATTACTTTTTTTTTAACCTAATTTCACCATTAAAGACAAAATACCATATAACAGATACAAAACAGATTTATTTTCTAGTCTTTTTTTTTAAATGGAAAAAATATGTAACAGTGACTTTATTCGCTAATTATCTAAAGGTGGTGTAATTGTTGACAAGTTTAGTTTGTACCGTCTACACGTTTGAAGGCTCCTGGCAAGAAGAAAGACCTCTTGGTGTAAAATGCATGATTCTGAAATACAAATGTATAAAATAAACTCAGCATTTTTGCAAGTCGTTCACTCGGCGATGAAAATGACTTTGACGTTTTTTTTGTTTGCGCCGTAAAGACGAAAAACTGCGAAAACTAA